AAAAAAAAGAAAAAGAAATGTTTATTTCCTAGTCCAGACTAAATGGTCCTCAAATATATTGAACTTAAAGCTTCACTGAAACTGTTGTGCTAATTAAAGATAAGTGAAGAGCAGCATGGTGCCATTTATCAATGCCAGTGTGAGTGTTTCTACAGAACTTCCTAGCTGACTTCCGTTTTGTTTCTTTTCCATTAGTCTTCGTAGGGCAGTGGATGAAGATGAAGAGGCAGCTGAGGAGCGCAGGAACACTCGCTGCATCTGGATGGCTGGAATGAAGCATGTCACTGAAAAAGAAGCTGCCTCCCTTATTGTGGAGGAGGCTAGAACACTCCTGCAGCAGGACTTGGCTGTGATGGGAGTAGAGTGGAACCCAGATTCTTACCTGGACTCCGAGTCATCCTCTTCCATGATCAGCAGCGAGTCAGATCTGGAGAACAGAAAATACAGACTGAGCAGGGAGGGGTCATTTGAGACCCTAAAAGCATTTAACAAGGAAAGATATGGACTTCACCCCAACTCTCAGTCTGGGACTTCAGCAAAGATTGAAAAGGCAAATAAAAGATTGCTAGGTGCCAGTACCCCAAAGTGCAGGCTGCAGAGCGAGGCCCAGATAGATCAGATTCAAACAGAGGAAGGAAACAATGATGTCATTGTACAGAGTGCTAGAAAACGACCACATTTGAGCAAAGATAAAGAAAACATGGAATTTACTTCCAAGAGAAAAAGCAGGGCAAGCTCCAGGGAAACAAGTCAAGAATCCCCTACTGAAGAAGGCAAAAGATCAACCTTGAGATTTGTTCCAACAAAAAATTCTGCTATATGTAGGCCAAGGATAACAATGGGTGGATGCTTAAATCAAAGTAGAAACTGCAACAGGGCTTTGAAGCAACATAGGTCACTGCTTGAAGAATCAAGGAGGCAAGTAAAAGGTGTAAAAGGGCCCCCTCTTTCCAGACACAGCAATTGTGAAGGTAAATCCTTTCCAGATGGAAGTAATAAGGAACTGACAGAAAAAGGATCATTGGTTCACAAGGACAAAATCTCAGGATCTTTTCATGAACATTATCTGCTTATAGGGAGCAAAGAGAAAATGGAAGGACTGCTTATGGAGCCTTTTGTTACTAAGGAATGCAAGCCTAAAGAAAAAACAATTTGTCAGGCATCTAGGGATGTTATAATGAGGGATGCTACAACTGTGAGAATGGAGACAAGTAACACTGTGGGAGGCCTGATGGTACCTAGTAGGGAGTTGAAAAATGAGAATATTATTGCCGAAGACAGTAAAGTTCATGCTGGAAAAAAATATGCTGAACGGATATCTGGAAAACAGCAGATGATTCTAGATACAGACCTCTGTAATGAAATAGTCGGCAGTTCTGCAAAAACACATGAGAGTGATGGTACACACGAGCAGAAAACTGTTTGTTATGAACCTAAATCCTGCCTTTTCCCAATTCAAAGCAAAGGCAAACATAGCAGTGAAAGGCCCAATGGCATATTGTTCCAGAGTGGAGGTGTGGGTAAAGCTGCTGATAATCAGCCTGAGGATTTTTTGAGAGACTCCACAATAAAATCCAGAGCTGTTTGTATTGCAAAAAGTAGCAAAAATGGTTATGCCCGTGATCTGTCCTTGGACTACAGATACTTTGAGGACAGCTTCCAGTTGGATACTCAGACAGATAGGATAATACAGCAGCAGGTGGCATCTGAAATTGCAGGACATCAGGGAGCAAAAGGCACAGAGCGGGCAGCCATTGCTGTGCAGAAAACCTTCACAAAACTCCCCTGCGATAACGCTTTTCAAACTGAGAGTGTCGCTGATAAAAGCTTAGTTGCGGCATTTAGAGAGATGGACTCTTCAGGTCTTGTGACAACACTTGGTATGAAACAACCCGCTGATCTATGTTGCAGTGATAAAACTTTGGGCTCTGTGAGCTCTTGTTTACAGTCTGCAGTGAAATTCCCAGATGCTGCACTTTGTCTCAGAGGAAATGATTTTTCTGTCACTGACTCCCAGCTACATGGCTTTTTACAAGGTTATCTAACCCAACCTTCAGTGAAGGAGAGTGTCTGTCTAGGTCTTCAGAACAGAGCCCCCACCTCCAATGGCCAGCATCCAAACTTCATTCATGTACAAGTAGAATGTCACCCTGTTCCTGAAACTAGTCTCAATACAAGCAATAGTTTGCTGTTTGAAGATAGTTTCAGTGATGTCAATGACCCTTCTGGTATTCGTGCAGGTGAAGCTGAAGGGATGGAAACCAGGGAACAGGAGATTCTACCTCTTCCTCCTAACACCATTTCTAGCTCTCTTGTTGGCTGTCTGCATCAGCAGAGCTGGGGGCCTATTCAGGGTGTATTGAGTATAAATCAGGTTGAGCAGCAGGAGCCACCACAGTGTAATGATGCGTCTCTTACGTTCTCTGAAATTGATTCTTTCCAGTTGGCTGAAGCTTTTGACAATGTGAGCTCACCTCCTTTTCAAGGAGACTTGCCATCTGCAGCTCTTTTTGAGCCAGAACTAAGAAAATCTGTTGCACAAGAGGACTCCGGACCAATGGACATAGGAGGAGATAAAAGTGTAAGACTGCAGAAAGCCCAACAAACTGTAAAAAAAAATACCAATCCAATAGTATGGAGCGAACATTCATTTGAGTTAAGCCCAGGGTTGCAAGAAATTCTAGACAAGTGGCCTAGCCCTTCAGGCAATAAACCTGCTTCATCGAGACCAAGCATCCCTGGATCAAAGGAAAAATTAGTTATTTCAAACTGCAACCAAGAGCAAGGTGCAGTGTTTGAATTTGGCTGTGGTCAGAAAAAGCCATTACCCCTTTGCCAGGGTTTAGAGAACTATTTGACAGGTAGAGAGAGCAATAGGGGAGCCTTGGAACAAAAATCAAATTGTTCCCCTCAGTTTCTCAAGGGAAGCAGCAGGAAGTGTGATCCTCAGCCAGATATTAGCAATGGGCTTATTCCTCCAGTGCCCCCTGTGGACCCTGCACCAAAGAGTTTTGGCACGTCCTCTCTGAAGTCTGGGAAAAAGAAAGATGTCATCCTCATGAATGGAGGCCCGCTCTGTCAGGGGCTGCAGAATGGCATACCTGCTTCAGACCAGCAAATAGAAACACTGCAGTTTAATCCAGAAAATGGAGGCCTGCTTGAGACTGACTCTGTAAAAGACAATTCTGTTCTAGACCAGGGCTTTTCACTGCACTTATCTCAAGACGTTTTGCCACTTATTTCATGCAGTGCTGAAAGTTTCACTATTATTGATGTGGCAAGTGACATGGCTGTCTTCCAGACCTTCATCCAAGAATGGAGGGGCAAAAATAGATTTGCCATCTCGGTGGCTTGTGAAAGAACAAAACGTCTCTTGTCCCCCAGATCAACTATAGGCGGCGGATTTAAACAAGGTCAGTTTGGCCTTCCTGTATTTCATGTTCCAGTGCATTACTTTGAAGAGAAGTTCAGTTAAGCTTGCTGAGAGTAATCAAAATTCAATGAAAGTAGGTTAGGAACAAATATGCATGTTTTCATTTTAAATTTGTGAAAATAAGGAACAAATCCTACATGTATTGTATGTTGGCAGCTGCTGAAATTGCAGTGAATTTCCAGTTCATTTGGAGGAAGGCATATGTTGGACCTAGGCATTGCACTGAAGGGTGGAACTGGAAAGGAAGGTGGTTAGAGTGAGTGTGAGCCATAAATACTTAAAGGATTGTTACCATCATCAGCCTGTAACAATGGCCATTAAGTATTTCTTGCTTGTACAATCCCTGTGGTTTATTGCAGACATGTTGGTGAATGGCTATGTGCCTGCTGTGTAAAGTGCGTAGTAAAACATCATCATGAAACAGTCGGCCAGCATAATAAAGTAAGCAGAGTGTCTGCTATAATGGCGGCTTGCATGTTCGTAAGGAGCATTATTGCTAAAGCAAACAGAAGAACCTGTACTGTTGCTCTGTTATGAGGCCTGGAGAGTTGAGCTAATCTGGAATCAGAGCAGCAAGCTTATCACAGTATAAATGATGCTTTTCTCACTGAAATCTGTAAGTGTGGCAAATGACAAGCACTGAAATGGCCAATATAACTGGCATTTAAAAGATGGGGACATTTCTGTCTGACACATTCAGATGAACACACACTTCCAAATTAGTGCACAGAGCAAATATGAGCCAAAGATTCATCACTTCCCTTATTTTAAAGTGGAGTCCCGTTGTGGTTTACTGCTAATGCAGTAGGACATACACAAATAGCTTTCAGCTTGGCACCAAATAAGTAATATCTCTGAAGTCGGAAACAAAAGCAATTTGTTCAGAGTCTCCACTAACTAGAAAGTAACAAACCTGGCTAAATATTTTGCAGTTTACAATAAGGTTGTAACCTTATTGTAACCTGCTCCATTCATTGGCTCCATTTATTTCATTGTTTAATGGCAGCCCATCCCAGGCTGTTGCTGTGCTCCTGCACATTTTTGTCACTAGTATTCATATAATACAACTCTCCAAGGGGGCTGATGCACCGTTTTAGGGAGTTTCTATAGAGGAAGGAGAGCAATTGTGATGGAAGGGGGTATGAAAGTAATGAGTAGTTTCCCTTCATCCATCTCTGAGGGGACTATGGATGAACCAGCCTCTGGTCTTTGAAGATCTCTACCAGATAGTATGTGAAATTGATTTTTTTTAAAAAAATTTTGCTCCCTAATCATATCTTATAAACAGATTCTCCACATGACCATCACTGCTACCATGGGGAAGTATTAAGATATTTGCCTGACCATGGGAGCAGCATTGACAAAACTGTTTCAGGAATGGGAATGTAATTGTGATAGAGAAATGACAACTGTGTCACCATACAAGAGGAGGGAGTGCAGTTATTCCTCAAATCTTAGGAATGCAGGGGTGGATCCAGTGAGGTGAGGACATGGTCAGCCTCTTCCCTCCCTCCCACTTTTTTAAATCATGTAGTGCACACATAGCGAGCAATCTTTGCCAAGAGCTCTAGTCTCCACTGCTGGTTGCACCCCCGTCTCCCCATTAGATTTCCATTGCACTCCCCTTTTCAAAAGCCTACATCTGCTCCTGTAAGTATGGCAATACTACAGAAGGCCAGATCATTTTAAGAACTCCTAAGCAGTGGTTTTCTCTGTTACAATGCCCAGCCTACCTTGCTGTTGTAAAGATGTGTTGAAAAAAAGAATGTAGAAAACAAGAGGCTGGTGGATAGGTGAGAATGAAGGCATTCTAGGTTATTTCATTATTGGAATGTTAATTGATTAAAATGTTATATGTATAATTTTAACTTTAAAAAATATTTCCATAGTAAGATCTCCCCGGCAGATCCAGGTTAAAGATGATGGATTCCCTATCAAAGGCTGTGAAGATACCTTGATAGTTGGGTTGGCAGTGTGCTGGGGTGGAAAGGATGCCTACTATGTCTCACTGCAGCAAAAGGCAGACGATCAGGCTGGTAAGAGCTCTGGCAGATGGACCAGATTGCAGGGAGCTAGGCCTTTCAGAGAGTGGACAACCCTGTGAAAGTTGTCACCTAGTTTGGGACTTAGTGGACATATTTTTGGAAGCTGTGAGTGTCCCTAACAGTCTTTTTATCTGACAGAAGAAAGCAGCCATGTTAGTTTTTGCCAAGGGCAATGGCAACATGCTTTCCAGTGTTTCCTCTGTTTCTAATGAATTTCCTGGCTACAAAGTGTTGTGTTTCAGGCTTATCTGCCTGTGAATGTGACTGAGCAAGATGCTAATTCTCCTCATTTCTTTGGACAGCCCATCCATGCTGTTATTTATAAATAAACAAGCACTCACACTGCTTCCTAAATCCCTTATATATAAAATCACTTTGCATTTATTACTGTTATATTTCTGCTTAAGACTGCTGGCTTTAGAAAACCCACGCTACCTCATCTATTTCTATGGTATCCTGACTAAAGAGATGATGTTTTTTGTGCCCCTTTCCTTAGAAGTCAGTGCCAGTTTGGCACCCCCTGCTTTGGATCAGAACCTATCTGTCAGTGAGAGACTGTGTCATCTCCAGTCCTGCTTGCAGAAAGAGCCTGAGGGAAAGCACTGTCTGGTTATGTACGACCTCATCCAACACTACAAGACCCTGCTAATGGCCTGTGGCATCTCCCTGGAAGGAAGCTTTGAGGACCCAAAGGTTCAGGGATTTGTTAAGAAATTAAATTTGCATTTTATTTTTTTAAACCAGTGTTTGAAGTGCTTTGTACTTTGCTCAAGCCATTTGTCTATTTACTGAGAGTCAAAAAAATTGCCATAGGTTTTAGTGATGCTTTCCACAGCAGCAATAATAGCTAGAGGTAAATGTAGAAGCTTTTTATGGCCAGATTTTCCAAGGTGCTGAGCTGCTACCAGAGCCCCTGAGAATCAGGTCTCTGATTTATTGTTTCCAAATGTTTGTTTAATTATATGCAGCTCTAAGCCACATGTCACTTGGACACTGACTTCTCTCAAATACAGCTCTCCAGGGGGAGAGAGACAGCATGCTCCAAAAAGAGTTCAGTCCACAGGTCCTTCCTCTTATTGTGCTGTTTAAAAAAAGAGCTGAAGTTTTATTTGAATTGAAAAAGCATTATTGCATTTTAAACAGACTGAATAAAATAGGAATTTTGATTTGCTTAAGGATCCAAAATACTCTGCAGTACAAATGCAAAAAAGTATGTTTAGAGTAACACTTAGGCTTTTCTTGTGGCTAAGGTATTTGCTTATGGTCCTCATGGATCAGAAGTCACTGCCATGGTATTGTTTACTTGCCAGTGAACCTAATATATGATTGGCTCTATGGATCTTTTCCAAACAAAGTTATATAAATATCATGGGGGAAACCTTTTCACTCATGATGTTTCTTATCAGTAACTGGACGATTAGTCTGCTTGGTTTGTAATTAATTACAGAGCACTAGAGACATTTCTGGACTTAGTCTGTCTTTTTCCATTTTGCATCTCTGACATTTTTAACTTGGTACTTTCCGCTTAAATTAAAATTAATAAATCACTTCTGATTGATTTAGTCACCAGGAGATGATGATATAATTGCTTGCATAAACTAGCTCAGCATACCTTTAGGTTGGGTGGCATGGTTCAGCATCAAAATACATAGATAAGCAAACTGCATTTAAATATGTCCAGCACAGGAGAGAGCCTAAACTTTAGTGTTACAGTGGAGTTCTAGGGGGAAGAGAAAAAAACCCATAAGAATTGCAGCCTTACTTTCAAGTGGCCTGCTCTGTGTGAGAGCAACATCAAATCTTCATAGCAAAATAAATTTGCTTTATAGTTTGTCACCCCAGAGTCATTGTGGGAGGGCGAGAAGGATCCTGCTATGGCTCTGCATGCAGCCTTAGAACTATTAAACATGTTTCAATTATAGGGTCCAATTTTGCTTTCACTTGGTTTATACAAGGGTCATTTGATAGTAGAATTCACCTGACGCAGCCCTGATTACTTGTATTGATATGCAAAAATGGGGGTCAGGCTAGGTTCTTTTCACAGATCCCCATTTCATAGCAATCCTTATAATGCCATTATTTTTTACAAAGTTCTTTTCATGTGCAGACTTTACTCCATTTCTGTTTGATTTCCATGGCTTTATTATCTGTGAAGAACCACTGAGTGAAGGCAAAGCTTTGTGTGCATTTTATTGACTAAGTAATAATTCTCAGAAGCATTTAATTGACTGTCAGTAAGACTTGGGTGTCTCACTTGAGGGCTTTGATGAAGCACAAGTTTACACTGCTGTTGAGAACTTTTGGGCTCACTACCAAATAGTGTTTATGGTTCTGTTATTATTAAAATAACCAAAGTGTTCAGTATTTGCTTATGTCCATTTTAGGTAGCATGCTGGCTGCTGGATCCTGACTCTAAAGAATGTACTCTTCACAACATGGTTACCAGCTTTCTCCCTCATGAACTCCCCCTGCTTGAAGGGATAGGAACTGGCCAAGGGGTGCAGAGCTTGGGGCTTAGTGCCAGTGCTGATCACTCTGGGCGGTACAGAGCAGCCATAGAGTCTGTGCTCATCTTTGGCATCATGAACCAGCTTAATACACTGTTACAGAAGGAAAACCTAACAGGTAAAAAGGACCAGGGGTTGGGAAGTTTAACTTGATGAGTAGGGTCATTTGGGGAGATCAGTATTTTTTAGCTTTTCTACTTATTTCAGATGCTTTCTGCAAAGTGGAGATGCCCACACAATATTGCTTGGCTCTGCTGGAGCTGAATGGAATTGGCTTTAGCACAGTGGCATGTGAGACCCAGAAACACATCATGCAAGCTAAACTAAATGAGATTGAGACCCAGGCATACCAGCTGGCAGGCCACAGCTTCTCCCTGACCAGCCCTGATGACATTGCAGAGGTATTTGAGGGACTTGGGTGTGACAGAGTTGCTGCCTCTAAAAGACTCATCAAGTTAACTTCTTACATTTGGGTAGAAACATTGGTGGAGGGGTATTTGGTTGGAGAATTGGACTTTAAAGTTGGAAAACAAACCTAATTCTGATCAAAGTTGATTTTCTGATAGAGCTCTATCTTGACAGGGACTGAGTCTCTCTCAGGTGGTACCAAGCATCTTCATCTTCACAGACTTTAGCAGACGAGGAAGGTATTCATACTATTCAACATGTTGTAGGATTAGGCTTTTAATTTGTAAAGAGCTACAGCTACTTATGATCATCTGTCAGTTTCCTAAGAAAATATGCAGGATCTATTACCAGTTCAGACCCAAAATGTTTTTTGGCTAATACTTGGAGGGTGTGGATGCACTAACACTTGGATCCCTTTCAAGAGAGGAATGTTTCACAAAGACAGCAGCTGGTGCTTCTTATTGTTATGTGTGAATGAGCTGGCCTCAAACCAGATCCAGCTTTACCTCTGAATGAAGCAGTATGAAAGTTGGAGCAGGTTTGCTGCATTTGAATCGTTTTCAGCTCGTTCACACATAGCAATTAGAGTGTGTCAGCTGCTGCCCCATTGAAACATTCTGCTTTGAAAGGATTCCAAGCATTTGTGTGTCCACACCCTGATATTAGAAATTAACTCTACTCCGTATTGGTTTATTGAAGAAATTGTGCACTTGAGCTGCGTTGACCAGCTTGTATTGTTACTACTGGGCCTGGCATTTTGGGCAGAAATAAAAGGGGATCTTATTTCAAACCAGGTTTGAAATAGTGCACCAAAAAGAAATTGGTTACTGGCAGATTTCTATATATAATGCCTTCCAACCAAGTAAATCCCAAAGGGATCCATCCTATGGTTCACCTTTTTGTATGTGCAATATGCTGATTACAGCAATAGCATCTTTTACAGCTTTTGACCATCTTACTTGATGTGTGTCCACCAGTATCTCTACCAGAACTGTTCTTAACATGGAAACTGGCCAAAATGCGCAAACAACCACTGTTTAAAAAACTCCCCAAAATGTTCCCTACTTCCCTGCAAACACAGAATTTCTGCTCTCAGTAATGCTGATCTGATGCCAGTTGGTGCTCGTGAACTAATGACTCTCCAGGTTCCCATGTCTTCTGACTCATCACAGCTAAGGAAAAAAAAACCTCTTATGGAAGTATTTTTCCTGTAAAATATGGTGGTAAATTTGGTATGTCAGAGATATAGCCCACTAGCTAGATCCGGCCCATGGAGCCATTTCACCCAGCTTATGGGGCTCCTAAAGGGGCCAGAGATTAGGGAGTGGGGTGAGTGGGGGCAGGGTCTGTTGCCAGATTTCCAGCTATGGAGTTGCACTGAGGACATGTCAGGAGCAAGGGGATGAGTGACAGCTGCATTTAACCCTCATGCTGCTGTCACTGTTCATCATGCAGCTGCCATGTCTGGGTCCTGCCTGTGAAGCTTCTCGTGATCCTGATCTAGCACATGAGGTGGCCTGCAGTCTGGATCTGGCCTAGGGATCTAGCTGCATATCAACTCAGGATAATGAATTTGGTATAAAAGTTCTGTTAGAATTTATTGAGTGCCCCATGAAGTTCATGTGAACCTTTGCCATTTTATGCAATTTTCTAATATGAGGCTGTTCATACTATGCAAATTACTTCTGCTTTCCCCTGCCTGCTGTGTAATTGAACATAATCAAATAGTGCAGAATACCACCTGAAAATTCAGGATAAGCGGTGAAGATTTGTGTTTGTAATGACAGTTGAATTACATCCTTCACTGTGGCTAGTTTTCCAACTGATTGTAGTTTGCTAGGAAAAAAACTAATTTCTAAGCTAATGTCTAAAGCTCTTTAATAAAAGGTACCAGTAATGTGCTCTTTCAATATCTTGTGTCCTGCAGTCTGTTCCCAGGTAACATCCAGGCTTAAAAACAGAAATTCCAGGGCTGATTAGCTTGAGATTTGACTTGCAGCAAAAGAGATGCCAGACAGTCATTTAGGACATCTTTACCCATACTCCGGAGTGGAGCGGGGGATGGGGCACGTTAATTAAAGTGGCTCTGAGACCTGCTGTAATTAAGACGCCCACAGTGTCACATGTATTTAGCATCCCATGTTTCAAAATGGTGGTGGAGGTGCTTTAACTAAAAAGCTCGTTGAATGAGCTTTAGTTAAAGCATTCCTGCTGCTGTTTTGAAGCACAGGGACATTCAATACACATGATGCAGAGGCTGCTGGAGTGTGCTAATGAATCAAGTCTGCTCTAGCACATGCTAATTAGCACCTGTTGGAGTAGACATCCAGCAGGTGTATAGGTGTCCTTGTATACTATCCTTAAATGGCAATTAATTTGAATCCCAAGAGTATTCCAAGGCAAAGAGTTAACTTGGATACTTTACAGGTACTTAATGTGGGGAAACGGGCCTCTGTACAGTCTGGGGTTTGCTGCCAGACAAAATTCTCAGATCTAAATCAGTCTAGTCCTTTGTTTTCAGCATCAGTTTCCTACTCCTCCATCCTACATCTTTTCCTTGTCTTCCTGTCACTACAGCCAAGCAGTTATTAAGGAGTGAGCAGTGAGGATATCTGTAGCCTCATTTACAGGAATCAATTACCTTGTCTAAAAACACCTTGCAATCCAAACTTTTTAAGATTAGAAAATTAGTTTTTAGATTACATTTTGTAGTTAATTAAAATGAGGAGGAACTGCTATTGATAATACACAGATCTTTTAATCAGCTTGTTAAGTACCTGGAACATTAGCATTGTCCTTTTGTTAGAACATAGGCTATTAAAGTGCTCTTTCACTTGTTTATTTTGGGGTTTAAAAACATGTACTGAATATGAAACTCTGGTCTCTATTAGGTCTTGTTTTTGGAACTGAAGTTGCCAAATGGAGATGTAAAAGCTCAAGGGAATAAGAAAACTCTTGGTTACACAAGAAGATGCACTACTAAAGGACACAGGGTCAGGCTGGGCAAGCAGTTCAGTACAACCAAGGTACAACTAAATTAAGTGTGGTTTTGTACTGTGACTATAGGAATAACTTCCTTCCCATGTACACTTCAGAGTTTGATTGGATTTGAGTGAGGAAGAATAAGTTTTAGTGCTGTCTGCTCCCATGCAGAGTCAAATGTAACCTCTTTTTAAGGCACAGATGTAACTGAGAATGAGGGGTAACTGCAGGTATAACTGAAATGGTAGGTTTGGCTGAGTGTAACTCAACCTAATTGTGTCTACAAGACAGAAATAGCATAAGAATTGTGTAGGGTCAACAGCTAGACTCTTTTGTCATCTTCTTGAAGGATGCTTAGATGTCAGGGAGAAAAATACAATATAAATACATATATAGACACAAAAATTTAAAAAAATGTTGTTTTTCTTGCAAAAGAAAGGTTTGTTTTGGAATTGTCTGCTGGCTCCTTTATGGCAGGATTAACTGTCTGTGATTAATTTTCTCTGCCTATTAAAACCACTTCTGTGTTCTGCCTTTCAAAAAAAAATTGCTTTTCAGAATGGCTACATAGATTGGTTTTAACTATGTATGATATTGAAAGCATGTACACAATCCAGGGCCACCAGTATAACTACCAATTTCTAACTCTTGTGAAGCCGCTGCCCTAATACTGATTGCCTGGGGTTAATCACTGCTGTGTGTGTCAGACAAAGACATATGAGCAGATCTACTTGTCCCCTGTTTTCAGGGCTCATTAACTTGTGTTGTGCCCTCAGTGTCCTTTTGTTCAGTGTGAGAAGTGGGTTGGAAAACAGATACTGGTGTCTTAAGCTCTAGCAGCAAGGAAGAGGTGAGGAGCTTGGTAGATTTCACTTGGTGTTAGCCCAGGTGGGGTATAGTAGAAGTAAGGCTAAGGGTGAAGAGAGTTATCTAACTTTTACAGTGTTGGCTACCCTATGATGCTGCTAGGAGTCCCAATGGCTGTACTCAGCTTTTTTTTTTTATAATTCTTTTCCCATACTTTAATTTGAGCAATTGCTTGTACCTTCATTGATCAATATGAAGCAACTCCTTTGACTTAACTGCAAAGTTTTTATTGCTAGTGATCACCTGTGCCCTACAAGGAGTGTGGTCAGTGGGCCTGTTTGTGTCCTCCTGATGTGCAGTCAGAATAGGAGAGGTGCAGGGAGAGAAGCACAAGAAGAGGAAGGAGGAGCATTAATCTGGGAGAGAGGAGACAACCCAGGCCAGGCGATCATTTGACTGTTTCAGGTGACTTGTTTGTTAAAGCAGACTCTGAAATTTTTCTTTAGGACTTGAGACCAAATGAGTCTGTTCAAATAATTTTCTGTGGCTGCATGTTCTATATTGCAGGTACGTGTCATAGTGTTTTTACTATCTGTACAGCAAATATGAGTGGAGCTGTTGCTCATGTAATATTGAGACATGGCCGTGGAATTGGAGAGTTTCCTCTCAGTATATCACTGTACATTAGAATTAACCTCTGTAAAACCAAAGAAACTTTGTATAGAATTTGTAAGGCAGCCCATTATAGCTTTGTGCTTTACTTTATAGGATGTTCTGGAGAAATTAAAGACTTTACATCCATTACCAGGCCTGATTCTAGAATGGAGGCGAATCACCAATGCAATGACCAAGGTGGTGTTTCCGCTGCAGAGGGAGAAGCGTTTGAATTCTTTACTGGGGATGGAGAGGATCTATCCGATCTCTCAAACTCACACAGCTACAGGTAACGAGATGATCATGACACCCTTTTTTCTCCTTGGTTTCTGACAGCATGTTTGAGTGATCAGGAAGAACTGATTGTGTCCTTTAGCTTACTTTCAAACCAAACTAAATCAAAAGTTTTAAAATACAGAAAAATGTAAATCTAAATTAAAATTCAGGACCCTATGTAGCTAGGCACTGCTGAAGCAGTGTTACTAATATGTTTTTTGTGTGTGCATTTAAGTAGCTAGAATATACACGTTTCTGGTGCACCTTCAGGAATAATTACAGAATTTGGGGGATACATGCACACCCACGCACGCACGTGATTTGGGGAGGTGGGTGTGTATATATACACACTCTGTGTGTGTGTGTGTGTATATGTATTTACGTGTGTGTGTGTGTGTGTGTGTGTGT